GCCATAAGATCAATAATGTGTTTCCTATTATAGTTCTTACTAGCTATTACTGTCTTGGGGGTTGCTGTTTCTTCTTTCCACTCCCAAACATTAATAGAGATATCTGGGTTCATTTCCTCAATCTTATTAAATATACGTGAACAGATTGGAGTGGGCATGGAAATACCATCTAGCTTAACAATATCTAAATAATGCTTAAGTTTATTCGCTCGAAATATTCTTTCAAGATGTTCTGTGTGTTCATTCTAGTAAGCAAAGTATGCTTCTAATGTGCCTTGAAGACATTTTTCAGATAATGTATTTGTTTCTGGATCTATAAGTAAATAATTATTGGGGTTAATGGTACACTTTGTATTGGCGAGCCTCATTGGTGTTAGGATAAAAGAGCCTCCAAGAGATCTACGGTATGTATAGGATTCTATAAAAACCATTTCCAACCTTAGTAGAATTTTGCCAGATTCTTCTTTTAGGTACCTCTTAATTTTTTCATCGATTTCTCCTGCGGATTGAGTTATATGCTCATCTATATCATCTTCTGAAAGGAGTATATGCTGGTTTTCTCTATGGTATGGGTGGTGATAACTGGCTGTATAACTTGCAGGATCATTAGCTTCACCACCTGTATACTTATATTTTACGTAAGTAGCTGACACAACAAGAGCTGATTTGATTTGATCTTTTTTCTGTAACTCTTTCTTCAAAACCTTTGTGATAACCCCTCTTGCGCTTCCCATAAGTTGAGGCAAATATAGAGCATCTGCATATTCTATTGAATTGTCTTGGCGCTTATTAAAAGTATATGCAGGATTTTTGGTTGATGGAACTATACCCTCCCATACAGACATAGAAGTGATATTTTGGTGTTGTCTTTGGGTATCCGGCCTTCTTTCTAAAAATTCTATGCCTCCAGAGGGGGTTCTTTTTCTTTAACACCATTTTCTACTTCACAGATTGATTGAAAATGCTCTTCAGGGGCGTATAATTTCTCTTGAACCCTTTCTCTGTGGGCTTGGGTTGTTGAGCCTGAGCCGGTTTCATGATCTGATTCAGGGCTTAGCAACTGAGGGTTGGAAGCAGGCTTGCATAGAAACTTTCTGTTTAGATGCGCAATTCGATCATGAGTCTTTTTAAAATCATCTTTACCGCATCTGGGACAGGAGGGTAACATCTTGGTAAGTGGGTGCTTCAAGATTTTTGTATTAATAGTACGAGATCTTTTGTTTAATTTAAAATATTTATTAACCAAAATCACACTCAGGCTACCCAAAATTTACATGCCCACCAATTTTTTTACACCAATATCCAAAACTAGTAACTTAGCGTAATTTAAAACCCAAGCAGGCTAACAAAAATTTACACCAAAAAAATCCATAGGTGTAAAAAGTTGATAGCCAATTTGACCCCTAAATACTCTGTAAAGGATCGCCAGCAATAGCAGTTAAAACTAATATACTGCTTAGACCGACAATACCCATTTAAATTCCAGCAAGAGTATAAGATGAAATTGGGCTTAAAAGACCCAATTGAGCCCCAAATAGAGCACCAAAGTCACAATTACACCCTTTTTGACATTCTAGAAGGGAAAAGAAGATCAAGTAGCTATACAAGAGGGATAATAGTTATTTTAAGGCCCTAGGATCCAATAGAGGTATAAAATGGATATAGGTGCGAAAAATCTGTCCCAGAACTCCCATTTTTGTACTACTAGAGTTTCTTACATTGAAGGTCTTATATCGAAAGTTACTTGTAATTGAAAAGTTCATTTTATCTTGAAGATCTGATTGGCTGTATATATACATGATACAAAACTCAAAAATCTGTACATTTACAAATTAGATATTTAATTAATAAATTTGCAACTTAGTGCTTGCAGATCATTTTATCCAGGTGATTCACGAATTATCATTTAAGTTAACAATCTTTTAACACTTAATAATAATTGTTAAGATACTGTTTTTATATATATTTGTAAAGTTTTTTTTTTTTTTTTTTAATATTAAGGTGACTACTTTGAGGTCTGGCACGTTTTATTAAACTTTGGATCGAATGCCAGGGCAGCCACAGGGCTACCCCTGACTTTGTTACATTAAT